CGCCTGTCACACAGGCTTCCTGTTATTGAGGTTTCTGTGATCGGGCCCACTGAGACCTCACACGCTTTTCCTTTGCCCCGTGTTTGCCGAGTCTTTTCAGTCCCTGCCACACCAGTTATGTTTCTCTTGCAGCAATCTAGCTGCTTCCAGACTTCTCTGGTGAACTGCTTCTGAAGACCTCGTGAACACATCATTGGGGTGTTACACCATGACTCCACTTATCTTTTCAAAAGTATTTTTAAGAAATAATACATATTAGTCATACAGCTTAAAGGGGTTCACTGTGGTATCCCGTATGTATATCCACTGTGCACTGATAATGCTCTTCCATCCCTCGTGACCTAGGTCATCTTCCTGCCTCCTCCCCAGCACTCTTCCTGGTTGCTAGAAGTCCCTTTAAATTTCTTTCTATTTACCTTCCCTTTCCCGATTTCTAGTTACTATTCTTCTGTTTTGTACTTCAGTGACATTGACTTTACATGAGTGAACAAGAAGACGTAGTGTTTGTCTTCCTGTGCCTGGCTTTTTTCACTCAACACAATTGTCGTAGTTGCTTTTCTATGGCTGTGAAGAGACATTATGGCCAAGGTAACTTATTAAAGAAAGCATTGAAGTGAGGGCTTGCTGACAGTTTCAGAGGGTGAGTCCATGATTATCATGGTGGAGAGAATGGAGGCAGAAAGTCAGATGCTAGAGCAGCAGCTGAGGGCTATGTCCTTATCCATAGGCAGGGAGAGAACCTCTGGGCTTGACATGGGCTTTTCAAACCTCCAAGTCCAACCCCAGCGACACATTCTCTCCATCAAGGCCGTACCTTCTAATCCTTCCCAAAACCATTCCATCAGCCAGGGACCTAGCACTCAAATATGTGAGACTATGGGAATTGGGGACATTCATTCAAACCACCATAATGATGTTCTCTGGTTCCATTCATACAGTTACAAATTACTACATTTCAATTCTTCTTTATTCTATCAGGTAAATACAGTAACATAATAAACAAGGTCTTCCTGGTGCCCATGTCCCCTATCCCTGGAGGAAAGTCTCGAGGCCAGCAAGTGAATAACAGCTAACCCAACTGTCTGGGGAGGCACCACTTGGGTGAGAACTGCATGTGCACAGGACTGGATGTCTCAACCATATAGCAACAATTGTTTGAAAAAAGCTTTTATTACTAGCAACCAAGGAGGCCAGGCTAATCAAAAGGGCATTTACTGTGTGTCTAAGTTGTAAAGAGGCTGGCAGGAAGATTAGAATAAAGAAAACAAACCCCCATCCTAATGCCACAGTTATCACTTGGTGTATTTCCTTCTAGTTTTTTTTTTCTATGTACATGTTTTAAACCTTGCTTCTGAGTATGGCTGCCAAACTTGCTCACATCCGTCATGTTGTTAGAGGAGTTCAGCAAACTTTCTCATAATCGTACGAATGTCTGCGGTGGCGTTGAGAGGTCATACTAAAATCAACCATCCCCACCTTTTCCATAGTACCAAGGTGAGGTTTATCCGGAAGGCAAGGTCATTCATTCATTTTGGAAAATGATTACTTCCAAGGTGGGAACTGGAGCCGTTTGAGATTGGGGATGGGGTGTGGAGGTTCTTCTACTCTTAGACGCTCCCAAATGGAGCATGTTCCAGTGGAGAGCTGACATGGAGAGCTGACATGGTTGCGTGGCAGCCAGCCCTCTGGATCCTACCCTCCTAACACCACAGGCCCTGCACAGCCCTGACAGGGCTGTGTGCAAAAGCTGGAACCACGGTCCCACTTCAGATCTAGCAAATAGATGTTGAAAAACCAGAAATCCAGCAGGGAGTGTTTCTGGGTCTGTCCTCTGTGGATGATGGTTCTGGAAAGGCAGTGCAGGTGTGGAGAGTCTTGCCCTTGGGTCTCCTGGGAGACTGTTCCAAACTGCTGGGCTCCACCATCACGGGCAGGATACATGGATGGAGGCCCTTCATTCATCCTTGTGGTGCTGGGCGGAGGTGTGGATGGCAATGAGCCCTGGAAGAAATGACCTTAGCCAAATGAGTCATTTTCAAGTCTTGTTTTTTTCACCCTCCGGCCAGGCTAGCTTCTAAAAAGTTCAGAGTTTCTGGACTTAGCTTGTAAGCATGCCTCAGACTGAAGGAGAATCTCCAGATAAACTCAGACTTCCTAAAGATGATTGGAATATGATGTCAAAAGCAGGTTCATTTGCATAATAAAAGCACAATAACAGTAATAGGACTGTATTTTCTAGCCGATGCCGTGGGAGTGGAACATTTCACAAATTGTTATTTTAGAAATCGGCTTTGTTCACTGTAATTTATATACAATGTAATCACTCAATTTTAGCTGTATGATTCCTTAAATTACCCCCTGACAACTGCTGATATGCTTTCTGTCACTATCAGTTGGATTTTTTTTCTAAAATTTTCTGTAAATAGGGAATCGTGCAACATGTACCTTACAGCGTTGAGGGTGTGTCTTCCTTTACTCAGCATGATTTTAACATTTCTTCGTGTGTGCGGAGTCATTGTGTAGTTATATCACAGTGTTTGCATATGTGTCTGTATGTGCGCATGTGTACATGCATGTATGTGAAGGCCAGAGGTCATGTCTCAGGTCTTCCTCAGTTGCTCTCCTGTTGTGGAATATTACTGTAACCCTGTAAAGATGTGGCACATCTGTTTATGCTGTGTTTGTTTAAGTGTGTAAAGATGTGGTGCTGTTTCACCTTGCCTGCCTAACTCACCTGATTGTTTTAGTAGAAAGAAGAATGGCCAACAGCTAGGCTGTAGAGGGATAGGCAGTGCTGACAGGCAGAGAGAATAAGTAGGAGCAAGAATCTAGGCTCAAGAGGAGAGAACAAGGGAGAAGGAGAGGAAGGGAGACACCCCAGTCAGTCAGACATGGAGTAGGACACACAGAATGAAAGAAAGGTAAAAAGTCCCCAGGCAAAATGTAGATGATGAGAAACAGGGTAATTTAAGTTATAAGAGCTAGTGGAATGGGCAGCCCAGAAGAAAGCCTTCTGCACTCTCCACCTTGTTTTTAAGACAGGGTCTTACAGGTCCAGACTGAGTGGTGCCAACAAGCCCTAGGGTTCCTCCCGTCTCTGCCTCCCCAGCACTGGGATTACGTGTGCGTTCGTGTGTGTGTGTGTGTGTGTGTGTGTGTGTGTGTGTGTGATGGGCGCAGTGCGATCGGTAATTAATGATCCGCCAGACTAGCTTAATACAAAATATACAGCTTTAATAAACAGAAGGAAGACTTACACCAGAATCCCAATGATCCGTCCGGATGCAGGAACCAGGCGAGAGAGCTAGGGGAAGCGCACCCACCAGGTTTATAGGTAAATTTTTGCCTTAAGGCAACACGCCGCAGGGACAGAATGTGATTGGCTAAATTCCCCTATCATGTGACCACACTTGGTGGGGATTTGAACTCAGGTTCTCATGCTCAAAGATTAAGCACTCTTCTGGTTTGCTTTCTGTAGCTGCGGTAAATACAATGACCTAAAGCAACCTGGAGAAGAGAGGGTCATTGAGGGAAGGCAGGGAGGGCACTTGGACGCAGGAACTGAAGTTCCTGGAAGCAGAGACCATAGAGTAACACTTACTGGCTTGCTCCCCATGGTTGGCTCTCATGGTTTGCTTAGTTTTTATAAATCGAGGACTACTAGCCCAGTGGTGGCACCGCTCACAGTAGGTGGAGGTCTCCCATTTTAACCATCAATCAGGAAAATGTCCCACAAATTGTCTAGAGGCCAATCTGTTGGAGGCATTTTCTCAGTCAAAGTTCTTTCTTCCCGCATAAGTCTAGCTTGTGTGAAGTTGACAGAACAGAAACAAAACCAAAGAACCACAAGCACCTTACTACTTGAGCCATTTCCCCAATTTTCATAGTTAATGGGCATATGGGTAACTCCCCCCACATCCATAGCTGAATAAATTCTTTGGACATTTGACTACATATCATTGTTTGGCATATATTTTTGCTTTTTGTTGTGAAATAGTTAGAAGTGTATACAAGGATTCTCAAGGGAACAGTACCAGCATCATATGAACATATATGGAAAAGCTTTAAATAAAGACTTGGCTCCCACAGTGGTGAGGTCTGGGCAAGCCTAGAGTGTGAGGGGGAACTCACAGAGACAGGGGTGGACTTGGCTGCTCTTGATCATAAACTCTCTGCTGCAGAAGCGAACCCAGCCAGGGCTGTGGAGGACCTCGAGCCATCTGAGAAGTCCTCCCTATGCACGGCGCTCCTTTCCGCTTACCCAGGGTGCTCCCCACTTAGCTCTGTTTACTGCTCTTATTTCTGACACTAGGTACCTGTGATTTCAAAAATATTTTTATCTAATATAATCAGAATTTTAAAATACTTGTTTTAGTCTCTCTCGCCCCCTCTCTCTCTCTCTCTGAGTGTGTGTGTGTGTGTGTGTGTGTGTGTGTGTGTGTATGCATGTGTAACTATGTGACATGAGTGTAGGTGTTCAAGGAGGCCAGAAGAAGGTGTTTGATCCTCCAGACCTGTATTTAGAGGTGGTTCTGAGCCATCACGTGTGTGCTGGAACCAAAGTCTGCTTCTCTGCAAGAACAGCAAGTGCTCTTAACTGCTGAGCCATCTCTCAAATCTAGACTTTAAAAAATCATATCTTTAAGAATATAAATTTTGATTTAATTGATTTTCTTTGTCTTGTGTTTTGCTGATTTCTGGTATCTTTTATTTCCTTCCTTTGGTTTCCTCTGGGTTTAATCTGCTTTTCTTCTAGCTTCTAATTTGGAGGTTTATATACTTGATATGACCCCTTCTTTTCTAACATAATTTTAATGCTAAAAATGTCCCTCCAAGAACTATTTTGCATATACCCTAGACATTTTAGTATTTTGTGTTGTTTTTAGTTTAATGTATTCTCCAATTTACTTTTTGATTTCTTCTTTCTCACATGGGATATTTGTAAGCATATTGTTAATTTTCAGACTCTAGGAGGGGTCGTCCTGATATCTTTGTGCTGATGATTTGTGTTAGATCTCTGGTGAATAAATAGCCCAGTTTTAACATAATCCAAACACGTGCAAACATACAGACGATTTTTAAAAATGTTTATTTTTATTAGTGTATGTGTGTAACACACACACAGGGGCATGAATTTAAGTGTAGGTGTCCGAGGAGGTCAGAAGAAGGCATTGGATCCCCTGGGAGTGGAGATACAGGGGCTCATGAACCCCTTGATGTGAGTGTCAGGAAAAGAACCCAGGTCTTCGTCAAGAGCAGCAAATGTTCTGAGCCGTCTCTCCATCTTCTAGGAGACTAGCTGTGATCTGGAGTGGAGCCAGTCAGTCTTGTCTAACCACCATGTGTGTCACTGAAGACGAGGTGCTTGTTTAAACCGCTGTGCCCTTGTTCTCTTCCTCCTGTTGTTCATTCAGTTATTGAGAGAACAACATGTTGAAGTTGTCTCTACATTTGTGGGATGACTTTTAAAAATTCTACACAGGGGGCTGGAGAGATGGCTCAGTGGTTAAGAGCACTGACTGCTCTTCCAGAGGTCCTGAGTTCAATTCCCAGAAACCACATGGTGGCTCACAGCCATCTATAACATGACCTGGCTCCTTCTTCTGGCATGCGGGTGAAAGACCCCCAGGACCTGAAGCTGGCCTGTTCTCATGGGAACATCCCGTTTGCTTAGGAAAACAGGATATCTGAGGTCAGGGCGAGGGCAGCCTCACCAGGCTGCAAAACAGGAGATTTATGGTCAGACACCTGGCCTGGGAGGGGACAGCCATATGTGCTTTAGATAGGGTCAGGTCAGCTATTATCTGGTTTCTTTGATCCAGGCCAGGGGACCAAGGGACCTGCTCTCAAATTCACCCCTCGCCTCATTCAAACTGACCAATGAGATCCCTGTAACCATGCATCTGCTTCTGTACGCTTGCTTCTGCCTACCCCAACCCTATATAATCTGCCCCAAAACCCAGCCTGGGATGCTCAGTTCTCCATGTGACTGCAGCACCCACAGGCCCTGTGTGAACAATAAAAATACCTCTTGCTTTTTGCATCCAGTGCGGACTGATCTTGGTTCTTGGGTGTCAGGGTCCCCGAGGGGAGAACACCCAAATCGGGTATCTTACACGGGCACACATGGAAGGAATGCTGTACACATAATAAACAAATAATCTTTAAAAAAATTCTACACCTTTTTATTTTATTTCTTGAGGCTTTGTTACTAATTGTGTACATTTAGGTCTATACATCTTCAATTAATTGACTATTTTTACCACAAAACACACTTCTTTCTTTTTTAATATTTCTTGTCCTAAGTGATTTTTTCTTTGCTTGTATAGACAATTGAGTATATTTTTGATTAGATAATATGTTTCTTTTACTTTTTATTTGTAACCATATTTTACTTTTCCATTCTCAGATATATTTTATACACTTATTCACCAGTCAAATTGAAAAATATGAACTCAAGTCCTATATCCTCTTTGACACATAGCATGCTGTTTTTGTTGACAGTACTATCATAACCATATTTTGGTGCCCATAATTTTCCCCATCCCGTTTGCATTTGTGGATTAGTGAAGGATCAAATGCATAAGTAAAAATAAGATTTAAACAGAAGGAGACTTTATTCCACACTTCTTAAGATAAGAAGGGCTGTAGAGAGAATGTGAGGCCAGTGGGAAGGAGAGGGAACACTCTGTGTTAGGTTGTCCTCTTTAGAATGAGTATATCTATAGAGGGACAGCGCTGATCATATTCCACACCCTGAGGAAGGGGTAGCAGGAATCTAATACACTCATCACTGAGCAGTTAGGAGATGAAGAATCGTTGCTGCAATCTCCGTTCTCTGCCTGAGGCAGGCTTTTTTAGCAGCCTTAAGACTTCACTCCCCAGAGAATGAAATCTCCACTGAGATGCTCAAGGCATTCACCCTGAGGACCGCAATCATTCAGGAGGTGTATCAAGGAGTTTCAGTATGTTCAAGGCCTCTGCTCCTCCCACATCCCAACCCCTGGCTCTGTTGTGACCCAGCAAATGAAGATAAAAGCTCCCAACAGAGAGGCATGACCGAGAGAGAGTGCTGCTGGGAAGGGCCCTGTAACTTCCCAGACCCAGGACTGTGACAAGAGGTGGCGCTTTACTAAAACCCAGTCTAGGATAGTTCATCTAAAAGCTTTTATTTTACATAATATTTATATTATATATTTGTGTATACCACACACACACAAATATGCATACAAATATATTGTTTAAAATCATATATAAAATAACAAAACATACACAAATATATCATTGCATTATATATCGATAGGTTATATATAATGTATTGATAAATTTATATATTAATAATACATGACTTATAAGTTGCTACATACATATTAATGCATTTGTATATATTTGTACGTAATAAATATGAGTATATAGTAATTTGTATATATTTGTGTATGTATGTGGAGTGAGTGGGTACATTCATGCACTCCACAATGTGTACATGGAGGTTCGTGAACAACTTGTTTTCTCCTACCATTTATGCCCCAGAGAAGATCAAGCTCAACTTGCCTGTCAGGGCTGGTTACAAGCGCTCTCACAAGCTGGGCCATCATATGATCCTATAAGATTTCGTTCTCATAGCATTAATGGCCTGAGACCGGCAGACACAAAATCTGTTGTCAGTGTTTTTTTTTTATCATTTGGAATCCATTTTCATTTGTTTAATTGATTGACTAACTTTCAAATTGTTTTCACTTTGGTTTTTTCATTTTGAAAAAAGAAATTAGTTGGGATGCTGATTTGATGGTTCAGTGATTAAGAGCACTGGCTGTTCTTCCAGAGGACCCAGGTTCATATAGTGGTGTACAGCTGTCTGTAACCCAGGGGGTCTGATACCTTCTTCTGACCTCTGCAGGCACCAGACATGCATGGCCATCTGCAGGCTCCCATCTCCATCAACTAAGTCAATCCAGATGTCATGCTTTTCCTGCCACAATGGACTCTGCTTTAAACCAAACCAAACAGTCTTTTCCTCCCATAAACTGTTTCTGTCAGGCATTTTATCTCAGTCATAAGACAAGTAGTAGAAACACTGGAGGGGGGCATTACTCTGTCTAGCACAGATAATAGAAACTAATCCTTGACTGACAATAGCGTTGCAATGCCAGGCATCCCAAGCTTGGGGCTTGTGGTTTGAATGTGGGAAGTCTCAACAGACTCCTGTGTTTGAACACGTGGTCCCCAGGTGGTGATGTTCTGGAAGACTGTAGACCCTCTTAGAGCCGCACTGGAGGGAGTAGGTCACTGGAGCAGGCTTTCAGGTATCAGAGCCTGGCCTCATTTCCTGTCCATTTTTTGCTTGCTGACTGCAGTTCCTCACACTCTACCACCATGCCTTCCCTGCCATGAACGCTGATAGAATTAGTCTAATAGAACTCTAACAGAATTAGAACACACAGGACATCCATTCAGGGGTTTCTCATGAGATGTTGAGTCAAAGTGGTGAGAGCAGCCAGTCCTGTCGCATGTGAGTGTCAAGAACCATGAATCAGAAGAGGAACTCTTCATCTTAGGCAAGAAAACCCCCTTTGTGTTGCGTAAGGAAACCGGGTAACTGAAGTTTCGGGGTGAGGAAGCTACAGAGAGCCACAAGAGACCCCAGATAGAGGAAACCTAGTGAAGACAGGATTTCGTGTGGATGGATGAATCTGGTGCAGAGTAATTCAGAAGCTTTGTTTGCTGACCCCGGTTTTATGTTTCTGTGTCAGGGGAAGGAAGCGTGCTGACTGGGGAGTTTGCTGTTCATGAGAATATCACTTATGAAGTCACTCACCAGATGGTGAGGGGAATTTTCATGACTTGGAGGTGAGGAGGGTGCTATCCCAGTTGCCACTGCCAGCGACAGTTCTTGATAAACCAACACCCCAGGAAAAGGTGCCAATTGGCCTCTGACCTTCTCCTGGGGGATGTGTGTTTGGAGCCGACTGCTATGAAGTTCAGCTACACATGGGGGTGGGAGGCTGGGGAGCACAGACCAAGAGCAGGGGTTAAAGGAGTCTTCCAGAACCTGCGGTGACTGTTTTGCTGCGGTATTAGAGTGCCACCAACTAATGTTGCCACCAACTCTGGACCCTTGTCTAAAACAACAGCCTTGTTTGCTCTTTTGCTGTTCTTGGGAGCGATGTGAGACAGAAGACATGCATGGGGAAGAAGCAAAAGGATGGTTTCCAGCTCTGTCTTGCTAGCTGGAGCTGAGACTTTTGGCAAGTCACTCTTTCTTGACCTGTCACATAGGCTGTGGTGGTGTGGCAGTGGTCCTTAGAGGCCTATAGAGGCTGAGGATTTACATCTACCATGCAAGACTCAGCATCGGTCTCCCTGTTTCTCTGAACTTGTATTTTGCTTGCATTTCCTGCTTTGGGTCATGCCTCACATTGGTCTGGTAGCTGTTTCCTGGGCAATGTTCTACTCTGTCTGCCATGGGCCATCCTTCTCTTTCCCCTTCTTTCAACCAAGTCCGTGCCTGCTTGTGCAAAGTTGGAGCCACTCCCACATGCCTGATCTTTGTGTCAGATGGGAAAGACAGGAAACCCAGGTTTGTTGAGTCCTAAGGTCCTGGCAATTCCTGAATCAGAAGGACATTTAGTTCAATAACCTTCTCTTATTAAGAAGCGAACAAAAGCCTGGAGAGATGAAGTGATTTGCTCTAGACCTTGTGGCTGAATGAAGGACCTCAGAACTGGGATGAGAATCCATCTTTCAAACTCCCGGCCCAGTTCTGCCGTTGTCCTGCATTAGCTACAACATCCTGTTAGCCGATTCAAACATAAAACTGGTAATGAGCCCTAAATTATTTTCTCCTTGAGCACAAAGAATTTTTAATTGGAAAAGGATGTGCCAAAATTTGTGATGAGAAACAATTAGCACAGCTTCATGGACTTGCTGGGGAACAGCCATTGTTTCAGCAGAGAGGAGAATGGAGATCGGGAAGAAGGACGTTTGCTCATCCTTGTTCTTAAATGCTTTTGTCTCCATTAAGCTGGGATTGGTTACCAAACAACAATTTAGGAATAGCCAGGAATAGCCCAGGTATTATCAGCTACCTACCCCAACTGCTCAGAGGCATGCTAAGGAGCTGCCAGCTCCACCATCTTTTTGCCAAGTGAGAAGAATAGGCCTCATCTGCGCTCCAATCTCATGGACTCCAGCACCTAGGGACTCTGTCCCTTTGGGTTGCTCTGATCCCCTACTTCTCAGCCACTGTGTCTCTCTAGGGCTTACTCTGAGCTCTCTTCAAGCTACTACTGCATCCACCACCTCCCCACTCCTGCCCTGGGCTCCACTTTCAGCCCCGGCCTTGCCTAAGGACCCCAGCCTAGCTCTCCCACCACAACATCTCACCTGCTCTGTGTCTCGAGTGGATATCCAGATACTCAGGAGAGCTGCCCAAAACCATCTTGAGCCCTCCAGTCCAGATGCTTTCTTAGCTCCTTTACTGCCCAGTTTCTGTTGACCCCAAGAGGAAGATGTTTAGAAATGATTAGCACTTTCTTCCACAGTACTGTTTGCTGAATGTTTTGAATTTCTTGCACACTCTAGAATTTGCAATTAATTATAAACCACAGGGGTTAAACACAACGTAGAAGTCAGCTCTAACTCTGAGCTGGGTCCGTGACTATCTCATCAGAGCCACTTTATTAAGAACACCATCCCCAGGCCAGCCCCTCAGATCAGCTGACTTAGGATTTTAGAGAGATATTAGATTATTAGGTGCAACAAAGGTAGATAGCTTCTGACTTACCCCATCTCTCAGGTTCCAGTTGGTTCTTTCACTTAAACCATCTGCAGCAAACAAAAGATCCTTCTCATCTAGATGACCCTAGAGATTCTGGAAGTCACCACCCAGCAAAGGAACATTGCTCCTACATGTATTAGTCATAAGACACCAGCGAGCTTTCTGTGCAAGAATTACTCCCACAGAACTCTGGTGCGTCGGGGAAAGTGGTTGGCTAAAATGCCCAGACCATAACTTGAATGTGGGGACACATGTTTTAGTCTTGTCTCAGGAACCGGAGATGATGCGGGGACAACTTGAACAGGTCTGACCTAGTCGGGACGGACCTCTCAGCACTGGCAGCAAGTCTGTTCTGATCACTGTGAGAAGTGAGAGTGTGGGAAAGGAAAATAGGTCACCGTCCTGATATCCTAAAGTCAACATACAACTGCATGTGACAGTAAGCTCTCCAGAAGGTACCTACTGAATGAAGAGATGTTTCTGGTCAGGAACTGAAATCAAAGTGCAGGAAGACACTGGGGAAGAAGGCTAGAGTCTCTACAAGTGTGTGCATTTGTGACTAGGGGAGCCTTCTGAAGACACAGACTCCGGAATGACTTCCAAACAAGCTCTCAGGCACTTTAGTTAAATGGAATCTGCCATAGACATTAATATGTAAAACAGATGTATAATGTGTACAACTTTGTAAGATGGGGTGGGGGAAAGGATTTGCAAGGTCATGTGTGTGCAACAAGAAATGATTCAGAAATATAAGCAGTCTTTTCTTACTGTGTGAAATGGCTACTATGGATGGGTTTGGGTTCAGCCCTAGGACCCAAGCTGATGGAGCAGCCACCATCTTCAACACTGCCAGTTACCATGGCAGATACTCTGAAGAGTATCGTGTTGGCAATCAGATGTTCTACTTTAAAAGACACACAGTGTTTCACACCAGAGCACTGGTCAAAACCTGTCTGTCACATGGTCTATTCACCCAACTACAAAAGGGCCAAGATGTACATTCCTTTCACATGCCCAGAAGGTATTTCCTAATAGAAACAAGGAGGCCACTGGGTGGGTGTACGTGGGCTCTCAGTCAGCCCTACTCTGCTACCCTAGAAATGTGTTGGAAAACCACTAAATCACTTTCCCCATCTCGCAAATGAGGAGATGGAGATCCACTTGCTTATTGAAGTCATAGTAAAATTTAGACCAGGATGGGGCTATCTTGGCTCCTAGTTCAAGGTTTTTCTCGTTTTAGTCCACAGTGTGTGGGAGGAGGGTGTACGCAGAGAAACGGTGACTCACAGACTCATTCTGAAAGCCATGAGGACTTAAGGAAATTTTCCACGACGCCTCGCTACTCGTTCCAAGTGACAAATAGATGCAGTAAAGACACATTTGTTCTGATTACCCAGGGGACGCTGGCAATAGAACGAGCGTCCGAAGAGAACTGTCACTGATGGTGAAACACGATGCTCCTAGGAAGCCAGGAAGTCACCCAGAAATGACCGGCTTTGCTGTGCCCTGAGAGAAACACATTAGGGTCAGAAATGAGAAGGACATTGATCGATTGGCTCAGTCAAGGCCGATACACAGGAAACATTTATCCTTTGGGATGGAGCAGCTCGGCAAACATTAATGGTCACCCGCGACATCCCATTCACATCGTTAGGTGTCAGGGATCCCGAGACAAGCAGCAAACGAGATCAGAACTTAGGGCCGGAGATGAAGCCACAGAGGTTGGAGACTATCAACAGATGTCAGTTATTTTTCTTGTTGCTCAGACAAAATGTCTGACTGAACGCATCTCAAAGGAGGAAGATTTACTCTGGCTAACTGTCCATTATGCGGGGGAAGGCACAAGGGTGCAAGTGCCAGCTGATGTTCTCAGCTGGGCGCACTGGGGAGCAGAGAGAAGAAAATCATAGGGTTTGCCTCTCAGTTTTTAGGGCAGGTTAAATCTCTCTAGAAAGACCCGCACAGTCATGCACAGAGCGGGGTCTCATTAATGCCCTAGGAGTTTCCTAATTCAACAAAGTTGACAATCAAATTTAGCCATCACAGGTTTGTCTTTGGGATGGTGGTAAGTTGTGTTCCTAAGTTTCTCGTCTCCTAGAGTTTCCCAGTGTGAACCTGGGCAAGCCAGTTCACTGAGCTCATCAAGCGTACCTGACCACATAGCATGCACTTGTGTGATCTATCTTCCGTCACTTAACGAGACTATCTTTCCTCCAAAGACACATGAACTCCACTTCCATGTGTCTACATGTGTACTGCCTTCTGTAAGATACTCTGAGTCTTCCTGCTCCCCCTTCACACCGCAAGATGGTGTTCATTTCTTTTGCAAGAGGGTCTTCTATATTGTTCTATCCTGTCAGCTTAGAGCTATCTGTGTAGCCCAGACTGGCCTTGAACTCTGTTCTATCACCTTTACCTCCCAAGTGCTGAGATTAGAGGCACATGCTACCATGTCTAGCTTAAATTATCTTCATAGCTCTAAAAACACAAGTGGCTTCCAATTCTCCTGCACCTCAACTCCTTCACTGTCCCTCCTAGTTTTCCCTGGGAAAAGTGAGGTTTGATAGGAAGCCCAGAAAAGCTGAGCCCTCCCTGTATTTCTGCCATTTCTTCATGCCTTCCCAACAGACACAGATTTACATTCCACATACACAAAATACAAAATTCATGTTTGGGATCTCAATGCCCCAGGGTTTTCCCCATGGTGGACATCTGTAGCCCTGACTTTGCACCACGCACTACACTCTTGGCAGTCTTGTCTGTTCTCACCTAGCTGCCCCTTCATTCCTAGGACCTAGTTTTCTTTCTGATCATATGGCTTGCCTTACTTGGGGGGAAATCACACAGTACAGGTGCCAATAGCTTGTCTTCTAGATAGATCTGGGGTGAGTTTGCCCTGCGTCAGTACTTAATAGCTTCACGTTGCTTTGACTCTTTGCATCTCTACTTGTGTGAAGTGAGCTTGGTAATAAATCTTCAGAACTATTGTGAAGATTAAGATACACAGTTGTAATTTATCTCAGGGCTAGCTACCATGTGAACAACTGTAGGAGTACATCCTCACACTGCACCCAGCACCCTGGGAACTCCTAGAGGTGTTTGATTTTATTCTTAAGTGCTTATCAAGACATCAGGCCAACAGGAGGGGCCTTTGGACTGAATGAAGTGACTAGGGAATAGATTAGAATAATTAGGGAATTGAGAAGACAGGAAAATGCCAAGTGTGCTTTAGGGTTTCTAACTGGCAGAGTTGGGAAAGTGCAGCCTCGTATGCTCCGTTGATTTGGAACGACCGGAGATGTGAACCTGCCAATCTCTCTTCTTGGTTCCTGAGTGGGCGGTCACACATCTTTTATGAGAGTCGGGAGGGGGGGGGATGAGAAGGAATGTGAGCTTTGGAGTCAGCCGCACTGAGTTCTCAAAATTATTTTTATTTCTGTGTGTCTGTGGGTGTTTGTGGAGCTGGAAGAGGAAGAGAGCATTGAACCCTCTGGATCAGGAGGGTTCCTAACCACTGAGCCATCTCTGTGACCTCATCCCACCGGTTCCTCTTGGAGACTCTGCTCCTTTTCAGGTCCAGGCACTACGGTGATACCCAGGTGTGGATGACTGCATGCCTCTCCGCCTGGCTGAGCTGCTCAGTGGTACATGTATATGTGTTGATGTGATGCGCTCTCACCGGGAGCTTTCAGAGCTTAGCACTTCCTCATTGCTACTCAGTTTGCCTTGCACTCGTAGGTGAATGACTTCTTCAGGATGCTCTTGAAGAAATCGGAAGGTGGGGATTTAAGATGTGCGTGAGGAGATTGTGGGCAGTAAGGGCTCCTGCTTGCTGCAGGTCCGCTCAGGTCAGCGGAATTGATGTACTGAAAAGATAGTTGTAAATGTCTTCTCCCTTCATTCCTACCCCCATATCCCATTTTTTCCCCATTCTCCTTCTCTTTCTCCTTTCTCCCTCCTCCTCCTTCCCTCTCTCCCCTTATGATCCTATCTTTCTCCCTCTCTCTCAGTCAGCTTCCTACTATGGTAACAAAATACCTGAGACAATCAGCCTAAGAAGAAAGGTCATCTGGTTCGGTTCTAGTGGACTTAGTTCAGGCTTGGTTTACCCATTGCTTTTGGGCTTGTGGGGAGGGGCAGCCTATTATGGCAAGGAACACAAGTCAGAGCAAAACTGAGCAATGTGTGGTGGCCAGAGAGGAAGGGGGCACTAATATCTTTCAAAGGCATGCCTCCAATGGCCAGGATTGTTCCCATTAGGCTCCCCCTGTAAGGTTCCACTGCCTCCCAATAGTGCCATTGGGTAAGGAACAGGCATACTTTGGGGGACATTTAAGATCAAAACTACAATATAACTACAATATACTCTCACCTCTCTCTCTATTTCCACCTCCCAGATCTCTTTCATATGTTTGCCTCTTTATCTATCTATCTATCTATTTATCTATCTATCTATCCATCCATTCATTCATTCACTTTTGAGATAGAGTCTCACTATATAGCCCAGGCTGGCCTTGAACTTGTGACCATCTGTTTTTGCTTCCAGAGTGCTGGAGTTACAATTCTGCACCACCAGCCTGCCTTGCCATGACTTCCCGTTTCACTTTCCCTCAGTGCTCTATATCAACTTTTCTCTGTTTGCGCATCTATGACCTACACAGCCTGCCACAATTGTCTTAAGATGGCAGATGCCCCTCCTCTGCCCCATGACCATCAGCTTCTTCCCTTTACCCACGTTACGAACAGATTAACCAATCTGTGCCTAAAACACAAACCCCTACGGCTGATAGAGACTAATCTAACTTCTGGCGTTCTATGAGCCCCACTTCCTTTCAATCAGTTTGCTGGACGTGGAGCCCAATGCTATGGTAAAAGGTTTGTGTGCCCAGGGTGGCTTTGCTGGAGCTGAGGGTTCTCAAGAAGGGAGCACAGAAAAGAATGGCAGGTATCTGGAGTTTGATGTCCAGTCCCCTCAAATGTGGCACACTTTCAGCATCCATCAAGAAGAGAAAGGATCAAGAGGAAAAGATTGGATTTGGAGTGGGGGTGTAATCAGTGGGTAAAGTGCTTGCTGTATGATTATGAGGGCCAGAGTTCAGATCCCCAGAACTCATGGAAAATCTGGGCAGGCATGGGCTGCCTGTAATCCCAGCACTTGGGAGGCAGAGGTAAGGGATCCTCTAGATAAATTGTTGAGCTGGATGGAATTGGTGAGCTCTGGGATCAGTAAGAGGGCTGCCTTAATAGAGTAGGGTG